CTCTCTCTCTCTCTCTCTCGAGATTTCTTGCTCATATTTGCTTTTCTCCGTCTGCAGTCGTGGTGAGACGGGAATTCAGGGACCAAGTCAGTGTGCGTCAGGGGTGCGTCTTCAGGGGCTCCGCCGGCGGTTCCATCCCTAACTCTACTTGTATATATGCACATAAAAAATGTACCTCAGGCAGCCAACAGGATGGAGGGCCTGGAATTGTCCGACCAGCTGCCGGCCCTGTCTCTTCCCTGTCTGCATGCATGGACTTTTGCTCTCCTCTCGCTCTCTGAGGCCGTGTTTTCTTTTGTCACGCACGATCCCGTAGGTAAACATGGTAGTTAAATTTGGCAGCGCAAGGGGGAGGAGAATGTCGAATGTCCCTGTCCTTGTCCGCCGGCTCTGGCTCTGTGGTCCGCGATATGAGCTCTCCTCTTCTGCTAGTTCTATCATCATATTTCGTCTCTTCAGCTCGTTTTATTACATACTCCTCGCGTCCTTTCATTTTGTTTGCTCGGCTTCAGCGTTGGAGCCGGCCTGCTAATAATAACACCTAGCTACCGTGTTGACTCCGTGCGGAACGCGCTTGTGTCTCAAGTCCTCCTTTGGAGCGAGACGAGCCCTGCCGGATGATGCTATCAGACAAGCCACAGCCTAACCTGACAGCCAGTGGAACCACCTAGATAAGTGAGAAGTGGCGGGGAAAGGTGTAGTCAAAAAAGTCCCTTCACAGCGAGACTACCTCTGGAGAAACCGGATGGACCCAGAGGGCCGTGTTTTTGATAAAGGCTTTCCAGTATCCGTTCATCCACCCCAGGCGCAGCACCAAGTCATGCAACAATATTAATATGGCAGCGGGAGCTCCCTTCAGTCGGTTGTTGGGGCTGGGTTTCTTCTTCGTCTTCATCTTCATCTTCGTCTTCGTCTTCATGGCATGACAGAAAGCTTCGTTTCACTGCAGGGACTGGAGATGTATTCAAGCTAAGTAACTAGCGAGCTAACTACCTGTTTGTGTCTGCGGCTATGCTATGCAGGGCGGGAAGCCAGAGCAAACATCAGGCCCGATAGCTAAACACCAAAGACTACCCCAGGAACCCCCTGACGCATGCAGCCATGTATTTGGTAACAGCCCGCAAGTACCTCCAGGGCGCTTAGCTATGCATATTCTAACTCGACAAATAACTAGTATTGGAAACATAGCAGGAACAGGGGGAAAAGGGGGGATAGAAGCCAAAAAGGATAAAAGCAAGTATCGGGATCAAAGGGCTAGACTACATCGACCGTTCGACAGGATCCCGCCTCGCAGATGAGCATATAGTCCTTTCCAGACGAAAGTTCCTTGAACAGCGGGTTTCGCTCGCGAAGCCAGCTGGACTGGTCCGTCCGTGACTGACGAACATCGACCATGGAGAGAACCGCGGCACTAGTCGATGCAGTACGACCTGCCTCAGCACGAATCTTGCGTATCAGATCACTCTCCGCTTTTACACTGTCATCTCCCGTCGCGGATGCTCGTCCCAGAACGCCCGTTACGCTCTTCGTACCTATCTCCAGGCCGACGATGACATCCAACATGCCAACGAAGAGGAAGGGATGCTGCATGATCTCTACCGCAAAGGCGTGGCATGTTTGCCTGGCCTTGAGCTTGTAGGACTCGTCCTCCAGTAACGAGGACAGTCGCAGCAGGTTTTGCGCGATCACACCGTTCGTAGACGGGGTGGCAGAGTCGGTTCCTGTCTTGAGACGGAACAAGGCACTGGGTGTGTCAGTCACCGCCTCAGAGGGGGTCATGTAAAAGCCCGTGCAGATGCTACTGTCACTCGCTGACACGGATATGAAATACTTGTTAAGATACTCTGCGTTTAGCCGAGCTGTTAGCCATACACCCTTCCCTTTTCCACACAGTTTAATTAAAAATAAATATAATAATATGGTCGATCTTCGAAGGCAATTTTCAGTTAATGATTGGCAATAATTGGAAACTCACGCTGCAATTTATCCGCAAACTGTAAATGCGCATCATCAAATGTCGCTTCGTAGAGCTGGAGCAAGCCGGATATGAGGTAGGCATAGTCGTCGGCAAATCCAGGCGTGTCTCCGCGGGAATCAGCACGGTAGATTCGCCAGAGCTGGCCAGACTCGGCATCAAACAAGTTTTCCTTGATGAACTTAACAGCGTTGCCAGCCATCAGCCTGCAGTGTTTTGACTTTTCGGCATCGATATCTTCCAGCAATATGGCACACTTCGAGAGCGCACCGATCACGAGTCCGTTCCAGGCAACAATGATCTTGTCGTCTAGTTCAGGCCGTACCCGCTTCGTTTCTCTATACTCGCGGAGTTTCACCCTGGACGTCTTTAGGATCCGTATTGTTTCTTCCTCGTTCAGTCCAAACTCCTTTGCAACTTGGGCGGGAGTCGTCGCAATCCTTAGGACGTTTCTGTTCATGAACTCATCGTGGGGGTCGTTCACTCGCGCCACATTTCCGTCTGGTAGGACCCCCCAGTGCCGTGCACAGACGTCAGCATCGCGCTGGCCCAATATCTGTTTCAGTTCCTTCAGCGTCCATACATAGTAGGCTCCTTCTCGCTTCTCGGTATCCTCGGGGCTAGGCTGGCTATCCGCATCTTCTGACGAGTAGAAGCATCCCATCGGAGATAAGATGGGGGTACTTGTAATATACGTGACTAGATCGTAGATGGCGCCGAGGAGCTCAGGCTCATGGCTAGCTTCAAAGCCATCAATAAACACATCGAGTAGCTGCGCCTGGTCATATAACATTTTCTCAAAGTGCGGCAGACTCCAGTCCGGAGTGACGCTGTACCGCGAGAAGCCATAGCCAATTTGGTCTCGAATGCCTCCCCGCGCCACCTTGATCATAGTATTTACTGCCATCTCCGTGGCCTTGGCGCACTCCTCACGGCCAACTATATCCATCACTTCTTCGGGATATCTCGACAGGCGAAGTAGAAACGACAAATTGACCGGTGTGGGAAACTTGGGAGATCCGGAAAAGCCGCCATTTGTAGCATCATAACGGGCTGCAAAGTGCGTGAAGGCTTCCTCCAGCAAGTCAACTTCGAGGTCTTCCTCTTGCTCGCTCTTGTTAACCTGGGACAGATGAATGCCTTCTTCTGCAAATTCACGCAGTTGCCGAGTAATCTCCTTTGCACTCTCCCGGCACCGGAGCTGTTGGGTGTTCCAGACATCCCTCAGCTTCTCAAGGACATCAATGAACCCAACTGGCTCTTCACCACCCAGCTTTGGCAGCGGGGTTGCATTCGGTCCAGGCCAGTACGTACCTCCAAAGACTGGCTCAAGGTCAGGAGTAAGAAACACGTTCAGAGGCCAGCCTCCGGACCCGGTGGTAGCCTGAACATAATTCATGTACACATCGTCAATATCCGGTCGTTCTTCCCGGTCCAGCTTGATTGGAATGAAGGATTTATTAAGTATGGCAGCAACCTCAGCAGACATGAAAGATTCCTTTTCCATGACATGGCACCCTGTACAAGAAAACTGTCAGCCCGTACATGCATAAATTCCGGCGACTCCGCCTGCCTGGGTGCCTGCGTACAGTGGCAAGCTGAATAGCCGATACTCAGGAAAATTAGCCGGTTTAGCTGCTTTGCTTTGTTTATGGCCGTCGAATCCCATAGCTGCCACGCAACCGGGTTGTTCATGTGGCTGCGCACCTGTTAGAGTCAGTCGGGGTACCCTCTATTAGCCCATGGTCCGGGGGGGGGAATTGGTGAGAGACGTTAATGCGTCACTGCGCTGCAGCAGGATAAGTAATCACATACATACGGAGAGCGACTTTCACTGAGCCGATTGACCAGCTCGGCGGACGGTGCAGAGCCCGCAGACTCGTCTATGCGTTTCCTATGCGAGGCTGTATCCATGCTGCGGAAATGACGGCGGCGTCGCTGACTGCTGGCGGGAGGCGAGGGACGTTATGGCGGGCTACTCCCGAATTAAAGATGGTATCAGGCAACAGCCGGGGATGTACACGCTTAAGTTAGCTGGTCGTCCGGGATGTTTAGTTGTAATATATCGAGGACAGGGGATGCCCTGACAGCCGCGCTCATTAGTTAATGCGGTTTTAAGTATACATGCGCCTGGAGGACAGGCAAAAGAGACGATCTTATAGCAAAGCCGGCCGGTTGGTTTGGCGTCTCTCGGGCTTTTCGAGCAGCCAAAAAGCAAACTTTCAGCGCTTTTTGTTTTGATGGAGAATGACCTCATTGCACGTGACCTGGGGAAAGGCCTCCCTGGGGGGCGCAGCTAGAGGGAGCAAAGGACAAAGGCCAGAAGACGAAGAAGATGAAGAAGAAAGATACGGGAGGTAAATGTTTACGTTCAATTGCTATTGCATGGAAGAGTATGGAGGCCTAAGCTAGCTAACTAGCTGCTGTCGTTGAGTAGTTCGTCGAGTTCCCGCTCTTCCTCCTCTGTCAGCATGGACTCCGGAGCAGGTTCCGGGACGGCTGGTGGCTTCTGCTTCTCTGCAGCCTTTGCGAGCTGTATCTCCCTTGGATCAAGAGGCCATTGGCGGACGGTAGCATCGATGCTGACGCTGACCACCTTTGAGCCCACGATAAGCAACCCAGTCACTTCCTCAAAGTGGCCCGAGTAGGTGTGGTGCAGTTCGCCGGTCTAGATAGAACAGACTCGATTAGCAAGAATGCCCAGTAAGTTATCCTTCCGGGATGGGTGTAGACATACCGCTCGATCCCACACTCGAACCTCTTCATCTCGACAGGCCGTGACGACCCACCCTCTGGCCTCATCCACCACAATATCTTTGACATAGTCTGGATGTTCCAGCGCCGTTTCGGATTTCCATCCACTCTGGCGGGTGAGACACCTGGCTATATTATCAGCCGAAGCTGTCCAGAGGTCTCCATCCTCGTCGAAGAATATTTTGTAGATACTGGTTTCATGCACCTTGAAGGGATCCGAGAGAACCGCGTCACTCAGGCTTGCAGGAACGGTGAAAGAATGAATCCCCTGCCCGCTGGATGAGCTGAATACGGTGAGCGGGTTGCCTTCTGTCCTCGCAATCGGGTCGACTGCTAGACACTGAATTCCGTGGGTATGACCCTTCAAAACGTGTAGTCGGGTTCCGGCAGTGGCATCCCAGATAATGACCTCTGCGTCGGCGCCTCCTGAGATGAGCAGGCTGCGACCATCTGCATGGACATAAACTACTGCCTTGACAAAGTCTGTGTGGCCCGTGAATTTGTGGCCAGGCTTGCGGGTTTTCACGTCCCAACTCCAGATGCACTTGTCCCAGCAGCCTGCGTAGACAGTGCTCCCGTCCGTAGAAAGACAGATAGAGGGCAATGGGGCTGCAGGTCCTTTATAGACCGCAGCCGATTCACCCGTCTAGATCCCAGCTGAATTAGCCTCTTATCTTATGGGCATGCTGTCCTTGGGTATAAATCTCACCTACTTCTAGTATAAGCTGTCTGGCAGTCCCAGCGCTCTCTGCGAGAAAGACCGCATCACTCCTCGTAGGATCCGCTGCTATAGCAAGTATCTTGCTCTGCAGCTTGATGGGGCTCCCATTCGAGTTCTTGGACTTTTCTCGCTTCCTCTCAGCGTTCTCCAGCTGTGCCCTGCAGCCAGTCAGTCTTCCATCACTAACTTAACTAGTTGAGCACAGTGAATATCTAGAACAAGGGCCTTACGTAGTCTGAAAGAAGTAGTCTCTGTTCGATGTCTGCATGCTGATCTCTCTTCTAATCCTTCTATCTTCCTCTCACTCGCCTCTTTGTCCTCGTCCTGCTCGTCTTCGTCTTCGTTGTCGCCGTCGTCTTCGATCTTCATCTTCGTTCTTCGTCTATCAAAAAGAAAAGCTGCGCTCTTGGCCCGCCCGCCCCGCCGTAGCCCCGACTGCGCCCAAAAACGGCAAAAACCAACTTCAAACCTCCAACTTCGCCTCTTCTCGCGCTTCAAACTTGACACCAACAACGCCGCAAGCACTTCCACCCCTCCGCCTGCGCTCTTCTTCTGCTCGCCTGTTTCCTACTCTCGAGGACGTTTCTTCGTGCTGTTCTTAGTTCTGTTTCTCTTTGCTTTCGCCGCGCGGATCCGCGCACCACCGTCACCATGGACATGAACAATTTTATTGGGTATGGGAGCATAGTGAACTGAGGCTACACCCGCCGAGAAAGCTGTCGACAAGCTAACAAGATCTCTTCTAGCCGGCGATTCAACCTCATTTCGATGAGCGATATTCGGTAGGCTGCCCTGATTGCTGCTGCATACTCTGTGGGGGGTTCGATGTTTGGCTGATTTGGCAACTTTGTTAGCTATGTTGGTACTCTGCACGACATTAACCCAGAGGCGTCGACTATTGCCCTCGAGAACGTCGTATCGCATGGCACTGAAGGCAGGCGCGGCAATGCGTCGGACGAGGTTCCTCCGACTAGTTGTGTTTACGAATACATTGTTTTCAGAGGCAGTGATGTGAAGGATATCAATTTTGCCGACAATGAAAAGGAGAACCAGCCTCCAGAGCAACCGCAGGTACCCAATGACCCTGCTATACTAGGCGTGAGTAGTGACCTATTTATTCTGTTCCCAAAGATCCCGGTTATGGCTTCTTTGTCTACTTGCTATACTTTGGATGAGGGTGTATAAAAGGGTGAAAACTTGTTACGATGCTACTTTTATCCAGGGACTTCTACCTCACATTATCACTTAAATTGGTTGGTCAGACCTGCTGATAACTATATGCTAAATTAGACTACTGCTCCTCCACGCCAGGCCCAGGCGCCAGCAGCCGCTCCGGCTCCTGCTCAGGCAGGCCGTGGTCAGCCAGCCCAAGTTCCACAGCAACCATCTCGACAGCAACCACCGCCTCCTGGTTATCCCCAGCAACCTCCATATCCCAATTACTATAATCCCTATGGGCAGCAGTTCCGTGGTCCTCCTGGTGGCCCTCCCGGATTCCCTGGTGCACCTGGCCCTGGCCCTGGCTTCCCAAACATGCCTTATGGACAGCAAGGATGGTATCCTCCCCCAGGCCAAGGCTTTCCACAGCAACCAGGCCCGTTCGGACCTCCTCAGATGCCAATTGGCCCTCCACGCGGACCACCTGGGCAGCAGCAACAACAGCCACCGCAGCAACAACCACAATCGCAGCAACATGGTCCAGAGGGAGCTCCAGCCTCTCAGAGTACCCAAATGCCAACATCCGAGCTCCCCGGTGGTGAAAAAGCTCCGAAGAAATCTACAACTCCTGCTCCGGCAGCTGCTGCCCAGAAGGAAAGCCAGAAGCCTACCCAACCCAAACCAGAGGCTTCTACCGCCCAGACTCAAAAGCCTGCCCCTGCCAAAGCTCCCACACAAACTATCTCTGAGGCAACTGTAGTTGCTAAGAATGAAAGAATTGTTCCCGCTGTGCCTGTTGCTGTACCACTAAAGCCCGCTGCTCAGTCCACTGCATCAGCTAGTCAACAGGGAAACCGAGCTCCTCCAAATGCGATGGAGGAGGCAACTCGAGCTGCTACTGCTGCTGTCGCCGCTGCAATGGCAAAGCTACCACAACCTGCTGGGTCCCAACAGCAGCAGCAGCAGCAGCAACCCACTAATGGCTCTTTGGAGAGTGTTACTAAGAAAATTAATGAAATGCGACCGTTTGATGGTGAACGTCAACCAAGAGGTGGTCACCGTGGCCGTGGAGGCCATCGTGGCCACCACCACCACCACCAACAGGTTAAGAAGATCGAAGTTCCCTCGACTGACTATGACTTTGCATCCGCGAATGCCAAATTCAATAAACAGGATCTCGTTAAGGAGGCTATCGCTTCTGGATCCCCATTACTTGAAGCTGAAGGAAAGGCTCATAGCGCCACCTCAGAGGCTAACGGAGTGGAAGGTGGTGACTTTTCCAGTGCTGCATCTGGCCATGCTACCACTGCTGTATATGACAAGACCTCTTCCTTCTTCGACAACCTATCAAGTGAGATGCGTGATAGGGAAGAAAACGCCCGGAACAAGACCAGTGGCCGCGAATGGCGTGGGGAAGAAGAAAAGAAGAATATGGAGACTTTCGGACAAGGCAGCGTCGATAGTGGATATCGTGGCCGAGGTCGTGGCCGCGGACGAGGCTACGGCGGACGAGGCAGAGGCTACAACCGTGGCTATGGAGGTGGACGTGGTAGAGGCGGTTTCCGCAGTGGACGAGTTGCAGCCGAATCTACAGGAGTTCCATCCGCTTCATAAATAGGATACAACTCCTTATCACCGAGGCCTTCATGGGTCTTCTTTTTCACCCTCATACTTTCATCTTCGGTCCCTCTTGATGTGTCTTCCTCAAATTGGCCCTGCGCCTACTTTGAATACCCCTACAAGTTTCAATCTGCTCTTTTTGTAGCGAAAGAATGATATCACGCCCTACCCCCTTGGTTTGGTCTCGGGTTGGTATGCGCAAATCAGCGCGCATTTCTCTTAACTGCCTTACCGTCCCCTTTTCTTTTTTCTGCATGGCGCATTTGGTGGGTGTCTCTTATGGATTTTATTCAAGGTTGGCCAGGTCAATGAATGATGCCACTGAAAATGATCGTACCGTTGTTTCCTTCCCTTCTCCACCTCCCCATTCAATCTTCTTTCCCAATCATCCAACCCTCACAAGAAAAGAAAAAAAATCACAATAATATGCAATCTCTGCTCCGGCATTTGGTACCCCCTTTTCTCCCTCAACATAAGACCATCTTCTGTCTATGGTTTGGTCGACTTCATCACAAGCCATCCCCTACTTTTCCTACCTCATGCGGACAATCTTTTCCACTTTTGATTTCGATTCTGTCTAGATATAAGATGCTTTATCCACAGACATCTAGCAGTGGACACGGGAGATAGCTTGTATCATTATCCAGGGGCTCAATACCGCCTACACAAAAATAACAAAAGACAAAGACACAGCCTATCGGCTTCTTTGTACCTCTCGCCCTCTTTTCACCTGTATACTCATCTATTTATTTACCTAAACTGCTTCTCTTATTTACTTCGGTTGTAGGTGTTTTGTTTGTTTGCTTGATATATCTGGCAGTGCAGCACGTGAACTACGCGCGCCCAACAGCCGCGGCTTAACTTTGATTTCTAACTAAAACGAGCAGCTTCACTAGAGAAAAGCCATCTCAGACAAGTTCCCATGATCCTCTCGTCGAAACCCCGGAAACCCCAGAAACACCATTAAACACCCAATGGTCCTGTGTTCAATGTGCATTCTGCATTCCTGAGAGATCATTGACTCTTACATGGGCACATACAGCCCTCCATGTGGCTTGCGCTCTCCCGAGTTTGCGCTCACGACTACGCCTCTGTTTGATCTCCTTATTCTTACCCACATTCCTCAAGCCCGAGTCTCATGTAGGGATCAAGCTATAATAGCCCATGAATCATGTCGGACTCAGTTGGTAAGCTTGCAATTTGCTCCCCAGTTTACGTTGAGTGTCATAAAGTAGCTTGGCGCCTTCGGCTAGAGACAGCTAACTGACGGACTGCGCATCGATCTCATAGATCGAGTCTTTGTCCATGCCCTTAATACGGTGAAGAAGATTCCCCGGACGGGGTTGGCCAGGCCACCGACGGCCGATCGATTGAAGCTCTATGGACTATATAAACAAAGCATGGGTATGGCTTAACCGTTATCCTGAGGCACTATACGGGACTGTTGAAAACGAGGCTGACCGTTGCAATTATCAATAATGTGCAGAAGGGGATGTTGAAGGCGTAATGGACCGACCGGTTGGTGATGCTGATGTCCAGGCTGAAAAAGAGAAATGGTATTGTTATCTACACCTTGTTCGGCGATGATTTTACTAATTTTATTTGTTTGCTGATAAAGGGACTCATGGTATGCGCAACGGAACTTGTCACGAACGGAAGCTAAACGACGGTATATAACGACACTTATAGAGACCATGCATCGATATGCATCTCCTACCCCGGAGGCTCAAGAGCTTATATCTGAACTTGAATTTGTATGGGACCAAATCAAGTCGAACACTTCGTCTTCATTCTCGAACCCGGATCAGGGCTTAAGCGTGTCGGGTCCTACCCGAATACCGTCTCAAACAAGCTATGACAATATAGGGAGCAGGGTGGCGCGACAAGGATTTGACGAGGCAGGGAGGGGCTCTCAGTTGCGAGTGTTGAGTCCTGTAAGCCAGCCAGATGGAGGTTCGAGGCGGCATCGTTACGGAAGTCAGTCCGAAAAAGAACATGATCACAGCTCCCGAAACAGGGATGGTGACGACACAGAAGACGACGAGGAAGAAGACCCAGACGAAGATGAAGAGGAAGAAGAGTTTCAAGAAGCAAGGAATAGCTTTTATGAGAACCAGGAACCAGGAGAAGACCCACGACTTCAACCTCCCATCACAGCAGGACAGAGACACTACCAACGATGGCAGAAACGCGTTGAGCAGGCCTTAACGAAGATGACTGTCGAAGTGGCTGCCGTAAGAGAACAGTTAGAAGCACGCAAAGCATTTGAAAGTAGGAAATCTGGCATATGGTCCTGGATGAAGTGGTTTGCTTGGGTCGCTATACGGCAACTCTTCTGGGACCTTGCTCTGTTGGCAATTCTTCTACTGTATGTCCGCATTCGAGATGAGAGACGGCTTGGAAGAACTCTCAAATCAGTCTGGCTTGAGGTCAGGCAGAGATTATCCAGGGTTCGAATATTCCGCCGGCGGCCAAGTTAGAATAGAAGACCACTCTCGTACATTTTTTCTTCTCCTGCAATTGTTTTATATATTTTTACCTAACACCAATATAGAGGCGGAACTTTCTATAATCATACTAATGAAATTATTGAGAGAATCTAGATTGATAGACGGGGATTTAAATGATATTGGGTAACAAACACATAAACACATCAGTTCGTATACATCCTTAAGACTGAAAACGCCAAGGGGGGTGGGAAACATTATTTTGGTTAAATAAGAAGTGAAGAAATATGCTACAGGAAAAAAGGTTTTCTCAAAACGCCACATGCATGCCAAACATTGATGCTCTTAGCCTTTTGTAGGGCGGCAAGAGTTCCCTTGGTGGAACAATAATAAAATGGATCTCGGCTGGTATCTGAGCATCATGGTAAGGGAAAGAGAGATGGGTATATAAGAGGCATTCAAGGCGGCTCTGGGAGCATATAGTAGTGCACTGCGGTGCGCAAGCCACCCGGTGGTAACTCAATCCTCTCCAACATATTTGAACCAATTTGGTCGGCAATCTTCGAGTTGGAGAAACGGCTCTCCGCGATAAAATTGGCCAGCCTCACATTCCCTACATTTCGGGGAATTTGGACAGTTCAAGAATGGGATATGGTTATATCCAATATCTCGGAACCTAGCATTAATGGGTTAATAAAACACCAGTAAAAAGAAGCCATGGATATATTCTTACCAATGGATTTTGCTTTTATCCGCAAATAGTCCCAGTCCAATCGAATGAACAGGGGCATCTCCCCACCGCTCATAGAAGAATCCTCCGGCCTTGTCAAGATGATTGAAGTAGTCTTCATATTCCTTGCTTCGCCAAAAGGATAGATCGCCTATCTCAAAGTTTGACCAGAAGTGGCAAGTTGAATATCCGTTTGCTTTCTTGGTATGTTCAGGTCTTTGCTTATTGTCTGTCAACCAGTCCATGGCGTTATTCTTGTTTACGTATTCCGGGTGCTTTTCTAGAAACTTCAGAGTTTCAGGCCACAGCCCCGGCATAGTCTCTGGTGCATCATACAAGTTGATTGTAAAGCCATAGGTTTTGTTCCGGTCTTGCATGTATCGGAATACATCATAGTCCACGTCACAGAAAAATCGAACCTTGGGCTCAACACGCCAGTAGTATTGCATATCCGCTAGGGCAGGATGTTTATAAAACATCCCGCTATTCCATCGGCACATCTTGTGGTAGGAAAGCACAGTGCTGTATTGTATGCCGTTCGCTTCCATAGCCTTTGAGGCGGTTCGGTATTTGTCCATATCAATCCAAGACGGAACGTCCCAGTGTTCTTTTGGTACGATTTCTATACACCAGTGTGACACCAATTAGTACCCATTGGGCCCTTAGATAGCTAGAGATCGTATCCATCAACATACCATAATTGCACTTCGCTTTCGTTTCTGCCTGCGTCCTCCTTTTAAACTCCGCTGTAAATGGCTTGTCGTTGAAAAATGTCCAAGGATAGTTAAATTTTGAGTTCCACGTCCGCTCCAGCTCCTTCATAGTTGGAATCAAATCGTCTAGCTCCTCGTTGCGCACTAGAGAAATCAGAGACGCCTTTATCCGAGCGGAATTTGGGTTATCGGGAGCGTAGTCGTCTCCTTGTGCCCTCCATAGAGGTCCATCTGGCTCTCCAGTCACTGAGAGGCGTCAGTAAACCCGCTAGTACGGAGAATATATTCAGAGAAACTCACATTCTTTCAAAGGCTCGCGCTTAAGCCCGTTGTCATATTTATGTTTTCGGATTGTTGAAAGGGGTAAGGAAGGCGAACTAGAAGTTTGATAGATAAGAAGCAGAATTAGAGCGATGCAGACCCCTATTACCAGTCTGACCGGCCTGGCGACTGCCATGTTGATAATGGACACGCACGATACTATGCGCTCTTGTATTTGACTGAAGCATCAAAATTATTTCGATACTCCCAGCCGGCATCGAAATGATCCCATATCTCGATCGCGGCACGTGATAAGGCGATGAATTTAAGCTTTTGAATTTTCACGTGACTGCACTAACAGGGCTAGTTCCATAACTAACTATCGCGCCGCGTCAGGGTTGTTTTTTTGACGTTTAACGAAGATCGCGACTTATTTGACATTCAAAGTTGAATATACAAAGGAGCTGCCTATTTTTCTCGCAGGTATAATAATTTCCGGAGAATCTGCATGGCTGGCCTATAGCCGAAATGGTTGCCTCCTCATTCCACGACTTGTTGACTGGACTTACACTGCTTACACTACATCCATCCTTCGTAATTCTATGTCTTATAGATCAGGGGGACCATAACAATGTCTATCTCGCTTAGAATAGGTGCATTGACAGACGAGTTGGTAGCTGCTATCTCCAAGTCGTCTGGTAAGGTATTTGATTGCCTAACACTAAGTTTCGTGGGATTCGATTGCGTCTAACTTGGTAATAGAGCCCGTCAGCCATACCCAGGAGAGCAGCTATTGAGAAGAAAATTAAAGATAACTCCTATTTAAGGACAAATAAGTTCGAA